CCCTGCCCTCCTCTTGCAGTCATGGGRCACTGTTCAGAAAGAAATCCAAGATTCACTAGACCAAAAGGTTGAAAGACAAAGCTGCATCTTAAAGTTGCCTGGTTAAATCATTCACTTGGGGAAGGGCAGCCTTCAGGCTCTCATCTCTGAGATGTTTATGCATTACATGTGAAACCATAATAATTACTGGTTTCCACTTTGTATAAMTCTTCAGAGAATTTGTAGGTTTAAAATCTCCATAACCAGGATGAGAAAGAAATCAGCTGTGAGATTATGAGACAAAAGCCTGTTTATGAAACACACAAAAGAGTGCACAGAGACAATGGCACTTGGGTAGTTGGTATCACAACACCCTGCCCTGGATCCTCCCACACCCATCACAAAAGCCCATCAAAGGCCAATTTCCACAAGTTCAAAGGAGAACAGGGACACAATGAGAACCCTAAGATAAAAACTCAGTATAAAGGAAAAAATTCCAGCCTCTTCCCTGGGCTGTCCCAGGAAAGCCTCAGCCCCGGGGTGCAGATTGGCACCTATAGAGATGAGTCAATACCACAGCAACTTTAGGACTGAGGGAGATTGTAWCCTACAGAATAGGACTCATTGGAGGATGCAAGGGAAGAGCATTTCAAGATTGCATAGGAATCCCTGTGGAATGCTTATGGGAGAAATCAAAGGGGAAGAAGGAGAGAGATCAAAGTGATTTGGGAAGGAACAAGTAAGGGGAATAGATGGATAAGGGGATAGAAAGAACCAGCTGTGTATGAAAAGTTTGCTGGACGATGTGCTTATCTGTCATACACAGCCCTTTCCTGTTCCTTTCTTCTTATTAAATTCCTTTATAACTTTATTTTTGAGTAAACTTTATATTTTGGGTGTGTCCATGTGTTTAGGGGTCTGATGSCAGCCTCTGCTCAAGCCATGGGTGGGAGAGTCCACTCGCCTGGGTGACAGTGACTGGACAGACAGGAGTAATTCAACTTAAATGCCATCCCCTGGAGTGGGACTGCAGATAGATGGGGGTCCCTGAGGCCAGGAGCTGGAGTGAGTGAAGGTCTGGGTGCCACTAGCTGGGCCTGGACTGCAGGCACTGGTGTGCCTGGGTGCCAGCAGCTGGAGAGCGCTGAGGGATTGACCAGGATTACTGTCCACTGGACTGGACTGGTGGTCAGAAGCCCACAGTCAGTAATGCCAGCAGGGACCGAGTGTGACAGTGTTAATAACGATCCAGCTGGACCTCTTTGTGAGAAGGTGCTGTGCCCTGAGAGCCAGGGAGGGACAGAGGATGGCTCATCTCTAATGGGAAAACCAYAGGAGGGGCTGGGTTAGGCTGGGAATACTTGACTTCCCTTCACTTGGACCTGGGAGTGTGGAGTTGCATCAGCCCCACCTCTCCTAGAATGATAGATCTGGCCTGATTCCTCCAACATAAACACCAAATATTTCCCTTTGTGGGAGAGTGCTGTAGCCCCAGAGCAGCAGGTAAAGGGGGAACAGCAGATTCTAGTCACTGCCACACTTTTTAGAATAACTTTGCTCATTCTTTCTGACAAAAAGCTGCAAGGAAAAATTATAGCCTTGGATCCTGAATAAATGAAAATACATTCCTGGTAGAAAAGTTCCAGACAGAAAAACGACACAGTACTAGGGTACATAGACCCTATTTTGAGATGCTGGCAAACTCCATGCATTGATGGAAAAGCACAGGCTGGCACAGGAGTTCTCTGGACCATTTATATTGATTTCGTAAATTATTGAGCTGCTTTTCCAAACCCCGGTACCTAGGACTTAGTGTGTAGAACTTAGAGTATTGGCATATTAATTAATTAAATTTAGTCCTTAAAAAAACCCCAAAAAAACAAGTAATATATAAATACTGGCACAACACTTGTTATCTGCTGGAATGGCCCCAGTGGTACAAATGTTACTTTCAAATCAGTGTAAATGGTCCAGAAAAGTCCTATGCCCACTAAGTTAAACAGCWGACAAATTAAGAGTTAAAACAAGAGTTTCTTCAAAGGCACTGRGCTTTCCTCAGAGACCTGGGGAAGAATACTGATGGTATGATGCTCTGAAGATGATCTGTTCCCTGTTTTTTTTTTCTCTGACCCCTCACCCCACATAGGAAAACCCTTTCTCTCTCTGCTGTTTATGAATTTTATTTTCCAACCACACCTCYGGTCTTAGGAGAGCTATTACCAGATCCTTGTGTTTTTCAAACAGTTGATGCACACATTATCTGAATTTCTTTAAAAGGAAGGGCTGCTAAAGGGTGGGTCCCAAAGCAATACACGAGAGAAAAGAATATTATGTGAAGAAAAATAAAACACAAGTGCACAGATGCACTCCTAGCAACAACTCTTAGAGTAATATAACAGGAAACACTTGCCTTTCGGTCTGAAAGAACTAAACTCTGTGCAGATGTTTATATTTACAAGWTACAAGTCATTCCTTGCAGTCTCTCCTCAGAGACTTAGCATTAATGTCTCTGGGACTAGACTGGAATATAAATTATTTTCCACAGCAGTAAAAGTGGTTTTAAAAATGCTTACCTGTTCTCACTGAGGTTATATMATGATTTTCTACATTTTTAATAATGTGATTGATTCCTCCTGTATGTTTAACAGCAAATTTCCTAAGTGGAACAGAAATAAAACTGTTTCACTACATTTGAGCAAGACAGAATAGCCTCCAGAACATGCCAGCATTTTTTAACCCTCAGAGAAACSGTCCACTAGGGAGATGCAAAAGCAATCTGGTCTGATCTTACCTGACAGCAGTTCCAGCTTTGACAAACATAATCAGCTAAGTCAAAGATTTAAGCCTAAACAAYAGCTATCTCATTTGGAGCTGAGAAGACTTGACCAAAGATGAAAAAAGTGGCCAGATTGAGGAAAAGAGGCAGATTTTTCCAGTGATTTGGAAATGCATGGATGTGTTTCACCACCATTTTTATCCTCATGTTTAAGTTTACAGTGAATTCAAGAGGATTCTGGGATAGAGAATTGCAAAGAATCTCCCAAGTCAGTGCTGCACCATTTAYTTTTATTGAGACTGGCTGGATAACTCTACTGAAGATGGCTGYATGAGAAGCAGACAAATGCTGAAAGAGATCCCCCAAAAGCCAGGGGAACAGTGAGGAATGTGGGAGACATCACATGCTCTAGACAAGGAAAACCAGACCAGAAGTTAATCAGGGCCCACACCAAAACTACCACTWCAATAACCCTGACTCATGTCAAATATAGGGTCCTCTGCTCCAGGCAACCAGATTTCTGCAAACTGATTAAACTTTGTTTTAAAGCCAGTTGTGATTACTGACCTGCTGTGATTATCGCTCTGCTAATTTACATTTTTTTTTAACTATGGCCAATAAAGATTATTTGATTTTTGAGAGAGATCAATAGAAAGCTTAAGGCAGGAAGCAACTCTGAGCTATTTATCAAGATGATGCAGATCAGATTATTTCTAGCTTTTATTTTCATCTGAATTGTGGCTCTCTGTGCAAACTTTCAGTAAAGGAAGTGTTAGTTATCTCAACGAGACAGATGAAAAGAAAAAACCCCAACAACCACAAAAAGCAACCCAAAACCACAAAGAGAGATTCTGAACAGCAGCCTTAGTTTTGTGTAGTACGAGCTCCCAAATTATTTTTAATAAACAAGTTTGCCTATACAAGTGCATACATGCCCACTCACCTCCTCCACTTTCTGTCACATGTCTCAAAACCAAASCCAAGGTTCTTAAGTGAAGTTGGTCTCCACTTTTTGCCCACTCCTTCCTGAACCTAGTGCAAGTTCCTGCTCCTRTGGGGTATTTATCCTTCAGCACCCAAAGAACATAAAAAAAAWAAAWTAAAAATGGCAGCCCTGCCACACTCTTATCAGGAGCTGCTGTAAGGCTATTGTCTATAAAATTCAGATTCACCTATGTGGTGTACAAGTCAACAATTACACACTCGAGAGAGGCATTGGATTATTAAGTATTTTGGAATTGCACRAGCCTGGGTGCTCAGTGGTATTCCACAAATCAAGCACAGCACATCAGGCTTTCCACACCKTAACTTACACACAAAACTGTTGTGTTAGTAGCCTCCTAAGTACAACCCCTTTATTACCATAATTATTAACCAATGGTAATTATTGTAATTAATTACAATAATGTAATGTAATTGCAAATAATGTAATCCCATCTAACTTYTGTGCATGCTCAGGGAAAGGATCTTCAGCTGGGCACGGGTCTTTTTGACCTGGAGGTGTGATTTTTAATATTATAATGAAGGTCATTTACCTCTATCCAGATGTATTGAAGAGGAACTGGACCAGTGGACCTGGCACTGGATGGTGTGGTTTTGTGGTTTAGGGGTTACTGTGACAGTGCTGCGTTGATGGTTGGGTTGGAGCATCTTAAAGGTCTCTTCCAACCTTGATTATTTTAGGATTCTGCACAATACAAGGACCTTGAGCCTTTTGCCAAGTTGGCAATATATACATCAACACCTTGATTTACTTCACCCAGCTTGTTAGCTCCAGGATGTGCTTCATTAAGAGGGGCTAACCACCACCCATTCCACTGATATACAGTAGCTTGTTTGACTGTATGAAAGAGGGCAAATCTAGGCTGGATATTAGAAAGAAATTCCTTATTGTGAGGGCAGTGAGGCACTTSACCAAGTTGCCCAGGGAAGTTGCCCATCCCTGGAAACATTCAAGACCAGGCTGGRCGGAGCTCTGCACAACATGGTCTGGTGGAAGGCGTCCCTGGAACTACATCATTGTAATGTCCATTTTAATCCCCTAACGTTCTGTGACACTTAGAGCTCGTTGTCTGCTATCTGCCCCGCTGGTAAATCCCCTTTATCGATGAAGTTCAAACGCGGGTGCACAAGCCAAGCTCTCCATGACACGCCCAGGGCAGGGCGCGGCCCCCGCTCCATCGCCATAATGGCGGCCCCGCCCCCGCCGCCGAACCGCGCGCGCCCCGCCCGGCCCTCAGGAGAGCCCGCGCTGCTGCCGCGTGTGGGGAGCGCCCGACGCCGAGGCCATGGCGCAGCGCGACCGCTCCCGCAGCGCCTCTTGGTCCTTCGTGCACGACGGGCTGCCCACGGCCCGTGTGGCGAACGCCATCCCCCACTGCTCCCAGACATTGGCGGTGAGGGCGGAATGGCGGCGCGGCCTTTTCGTGGAGGGTGSGCTGGCAGGCGGCTCGGCGCCATTTCAGATGGCCCCGCTGAGTGGCCTCAGGTGGCTGTGCCGTGCGTCCCTCAGCGYGGGGCAGCTCTGGTTCGTGTGCCGTGGGTGAGATGGTGGCATCCCTGGCGGGCAGGAGTAGGTCCAGGAGGTCTCTTGCTTGTGGCTTGCCCTTGTCTGGAGATCCTTCACCTTCACCTTGCTTCGTGTTTTGAATCGGGGATTATGGCGCTGTTGGGAAAGAAGCTGCTGGAAGTGTTTGAGTCGCTTTTGGCAGCCTCTGATAATGTCTTTTGGAAATGGCAGGAGTGATTTCTTACACATGGCATTCGTTGGTTTTTGGGACTACTGGAAGGAAGTGGTAAAAACCTATGTATAATAGTTAATTTTTCTTCAAGTCCTTGACAGAGGAAGAAAAGACAATGTATGCAGAAAAGCCTCGTAAGTGGAAAGGGAGGAAACATTCTCAGAAGGCAGTGAACGAGGTGAGTGCTGAGAATGGAACACCTCTCAATAAGGAGTAAATGGTGTTGGGCTGTGGTCAGTTCCATAGGATGCTGCTGAAGTTCCACCTGCTCTCCATACTCTCCAGCCTCTGGAGGTTATGGCTACAGTAGTAGCCCATACCATTATGAGGGTTGTGCAGATAATTGTTCTAATTTGAATTGAAAGTATAAATACTTTATACCTTTTTGAACCAGTTTGTTCTTTTGGGCTCTTTTACTAAGTAAAATGTAGTTCTAACACTCTAGTTTTATGTTTAACAGTACTTTGCAGTGCCTGATTTTTTTTTTTWAATTTATGCTGTAAATTTGTGTTACTTCGTGTCGTAGGTCCATGATGCTTTTGCTTTGTGGGTGTCATTGGTTTAGGTAGTTCTTGTCTGATGGCCTGAAATCGCATCTTAGAGGCAGCTGATTTGTTGCTGTGTGGTCAGCCAGTTCAATTAAATGTTGCAGCCCATTGGCAAATGGAATAATTACACCTTGCTGCTATTTTTAGGATGTTGGAGAAGGTAGTAATACTATGTGGAGGACAATATAGAAGTAGGCAAGTGATTAAAGCTGAGTGTGTGTGGTTGTGGTTGGAAATAATGCTGAACAGATCACTTCTACTATGTACTGCCTTGAAAAGGTGTATCTCTTTGATTTGTTTGTTTGTGTCTCTTTTCCTCTCCCAGCACTTCCCTGAGGCAGTTACTTAAGAGTTTGAGTTATGTGAAGTGTAAGAAAGCTTGTTTTCTTTCAGTCTTTGGTAGTGTAAAAACTTACGTCAAAAGAAAGAGTGTCTGAGTAAATGGATAATACTGCATTTACTTCATGCTTTATTACTAGATAATGAYTATAAACTATGAGTTAATGGTGAGGATAAGTTCTAGGACTTCAAAACACTTACATGGTGATTGAGGGAAGGACAAAACGATCGTAGTTTGGAGTAACTAGTAAATATGGATTAGTAAATTTAGGCAACCTATAGTAGAAGGAAGGTGTTAGGTAATGTTTGCTGATTTGGGGGGCCTGCCTGTTTGGAAAGAAGCTGTTTGAAATGTGATCATCGTGTCATTTAGCAGGCTACGGGTGTATAATTAGTGTAACTCCATTTTTAGATATCATAGAGAACCAAGTAAAGTGACAGGTAAGTYATAAATGAAGGCTTCTGTATTTCCTTCCACAAGTTACACCATATTGGAAGACTGGAATCAAGGAGGGGAAAAGTTGCTTTACCAAAACAAAGAGCACTGTCTTTACTGTATCAGTGGAAATAGGGAAATGTGTATACATGAGATTATGTGTGATCTCAGTTTATTAATCCCAGCCTTGTACACAGACAACCACAGTTACTTTGTGTAGTGAAAGGTCATGTTCCTCTTTTGGAGGTGGCCAAGGCTTACTTAGGTGGGAATAATTTGTCATTTTGTTTTAAATARTTCAAATTGACAACTAATTAACTTTGGCTGAGATAGTTACATGCAATCAGGGTACCTGGGTGTGGATGTTAYTCCCACTTTGGGTTTGAATGATCAAGTTTTCTAAGCCTGCCAGGTTTGTTTTCCCATCCTGTTAGAAGCTTATTGTTCATGAGTGAATTTTCAGTGCTTAATGGGCATACATGCCCCTGTTCCTTGCTCTGTCCTAGAGCAATCTAGTGACTTCCTTAAGGCTTTATCAAGTTTTATGAACCTGGTTCGTAGTCAACTAACATGTGTGCCAGGTGCTTTTTTCATAAAACTTACAGAAAAAAGTTTTAAATTCCAATTTGAAGAGTTCCTTGCCTCTTACAAGTGGTTGAACCTAAGAAAATACTTTTTWATATATTACATTTTGTAAATTTAGCTGTAGTTCTTTAAAGTTGTAATGGGTTGACAGAAGTRCTGAAATCTTGCTTTCCTGGCCTACAAGTATACAGGCACTTTTATATATGAACTGTTTCACCTAACCTATTAGTGGATGTTGCATTTTCCTCTGATAAAAGGAGCTGAAGGACTTTATTTGGGTTGAGGACACTGTGGTTTTTTGCTTTTTTTTTTTTTTTTTTTTTTTTTTTTAACTTTATCTTTTCCAGACGCGTAATCTGACTGATCCAGTTCCTGCCCCTCTGACCATGAAGATGCCCAGTGTTATTCCTTTGCCAGATGCCTGTTCTCTGTCTTGGAAGAATGATCAGGGTATGGTGATCTTAAAGCAATTGATCCTGGTAGATGAGAGCTTGCCCTTTGAGGTTGTTCTCAAAGGTACCTAGACAGAATGTAAACAGTCTGAACAGCTAAAAGTCATCTGTGTCAGCTGTTTGTTTTACTCTGTGGGGCTACTGCTGTAAAAGGTAGAGGGGAAGTCAGGGCAAATACCCCTTCTCCCCCTAACCTCCAAGAATTCTATCGTCTCGATTTTTTTAGCTCAATGAGAGTATAGCCACTAACAGTTTCTTAACAATTACTTTAAGGTTTTTAAGAAAAAGGTATTTTTAAAGTTAAAATCTACATTTATGGTTTGACAAGGCCTGATCCAAGTTCAGTATAAAAGAATACTTGTACCAGTTTTAAAGGGTGAAGAATTGTTAAATATCAAAGTTTAAAATTTATATGGTACAGGTATTAAATAAAACAAGGGCCTGGCCTTGCTGAGAGAGTGAAAAAGGCAGTATACACTCTGCCCGTGTCTGTATAACATCCTGACTTGCTTCCTTATTGAAAAAAAATCTCGAAAACTAACCTTTCTCACCTGTACCCTGTCTTTAAATGGATGTTTTAATTGGAGTTGAGTAGTGAACACRTTTGTAATCTACCCAATGAATATTGTGTTATTCTGAAAAATGATAAAAGATAGTGCTTAGAAAGGTAAGTCAAGAAGCTAATTCATACAAGCTGTATCTGCTACGTGGTTAAGTCTCAGCTCTAGCTTTTTGCCTTAGTCTCTTGAACTGTTTCCATGTTGTCATGGTTATGGGGGAACAAGRAACAGTAGCTTCATAAAAAGTGAAATACTTATTAGTGCCCTCTGTCCCAGGGGTCATTCTCCCCTGTCATTGTGATGCAGATCTGATTGGGTTGATCATGCTGGCTTGAGTTGACACAATTGATCTTTTAGCTGAATGAGAAGCATAATGATAAAGGATAATTGAGATACATTCCATGATGCTGCTCTTAATATTTCTCAGTTAAAGTTATATATAGTTCTCTGTAGCTATATCCATTTTTTCATAATGTAGGAGAGGTGTCTTTCCTATGACTCCATAGCTTGTAGCGTTTAAGACCCACATAAGGGAGCGTGACTATTCAAGCTTAGGGCAACTGGTGTTAAATGTCCTAAAGTTTGGAATAAAAAATTACTTATGTGTAAAGACAGTTACATGTCTCTATTATTTAGTAGTACAAGTAGGATTTTTTTGATGAGGGGCTGAAGTTTAGAGTAAGAATTAAAGAGCTGTGTTAAATTTCAGTGAGGACATTGTGACAGTCATGAAGAGAAGGATTAAAGTGTATTTTAAAACGTTTTTCATAGTTGGATACTTTTTTAATTAGTAAATGATAAATCTATTTCTTAACATTAGTGTTCGGTATTCTTACTGTGTTGTTTGGGAGCTCATTTGGTGGAGAAGCAATCCTTTTAATTAGCAGACTTCTCATCGTCTTGCCACACAAAATTACTACCAACTCATTTAAGTGATGTAAGGTGACAAATTGTACTTGTGAGGCTGTTCTGCAGCTACTGATTTCGTTTTTTCATAACCTTGTTTTCTGATAGGGCAAAGACACCTATCCTTGAAAGAAATCGTAGTTCCTGTTGGATTCCTTCCAGGCCTCTTAATATCTTGTGGTTTGGAGGTTGGCTTTTTTTTTCAGTTGCTTTTATTTGTTGGGCTTTTTGCCTGATTTTTACATATGGTGGCATCTCTGGAAGGTGTATCAGCACTACCAGTGTGCCTGAATTCTCCATAAGTGTTGTTATCTTGTCATCTTGGATACAGAGGGGGAGCTGTGCCTTTTACTTGTTTGTTACCATGCTTCATTACAGGAGAAAATTCACCAAACCTTTCCCTGGATGAGGTGAGGCCAGCATGGCTTTCTGTAACCTCTGATGGCTTGTCTGAAAATGGTTTTGTTCCTTTTCAGATGTGGTTGCAGACATCTTCTATTTCTTGGACATTTACAGCTATGGGAAGCTGCCACCCCAGTGTGAGCAGCGTTTCCTTCCCTGTGAGATTGGGTGTGTCAGGTACTCCTTACAAGATGGAATCGTGGCTGATTTCCACCACTTCATAGATGCGGGTGAGTTCCAAGAAAGAAAAGTATTGGGGTGAGAGGGAGGCTTTCTGGTGCCATTGCTGCCCAGGTTAGATTTCTGGTRTTAAGACAAGTTATTTCTTTGTCTATAAGTGGTCATACTACTTAAAATATCAGAGCAGTGCTGATTGCTTCTGAAGAGAATTAGTGTTAGAACTTCATGTAATTCCAAAGAGGGTAGACTAAATGCCAGAGGGCCTTCACATGTTTGTGCTTTAGATTTCATGTCAATGAATGTTTCTTTTCATTAGACCCAAACACACTGTACCACACACTTTGTTTTTTAAAATGCATRTAACTGAAGATAACTTTTCCAAAAATAGTTGTGGTGTAGTTGAGAGTTTAGGATCTGGTGGTAGTGGTGTTGGATGATGATTGTACTTTTTCTCTCTTCTGCAGAAGTACCACCACGTGGTTTTCTCTACCACTGCCAGGCTGCAAGTGAGTATTAATGGAGAAAAAGGATGGTATGTAAAGGTGTGCRGTTTTAGACTCAGCTTACCTGATCTCTATCAAATGTTTTGTAAATCTTGATAGTCCTTGTGTGTATCTTCAGCATGACATGCTAATTAATAACAGGATAACTCAAAGATACTGCTTTATATTTAAAAGTTATGTTTCGCAGCTTTACATATATTAACCAAATGAAAATATCTACACCGTTGTTGTCTGACTTGGCCTGCCTGTTTCCTTTGTGACTCTCAGTAATGTTTATAGAGTCCAGTTTGTTTCTATTAKGACACTTCCTCTCCTTGTGTACTGAGAGAACAAACTTGGCCTGTGTCAGATACTTGGATAATGACTTTTTAAAAGGGGCAAGAGTGTATGTTTGCTCACAACCCAGACCTGCTGACAGAAGCAAGGTTTTGGTAGCTTTATCACAGATGCTGTCTGTGGAGAAAAGGAGTGTGTGTGTTTGTGTACATATATGTATACAGAAAAATAAAAAAGGGGAGGGAACTGCATCACTTAAGGAAACGGGACGTCTCATAACTGTAGGTTTTGTTGTTTTTGTTTTTTTCCTGTCCCACTTCYCCCCTCCATTAGGTGATCAAACTCATAAGATCCCTATATCTGGGTTTCACCTTCCTCGTTCTTGTTATGAAGTTGTCCTACGGGAACTTCTGGAGTTTGCCAAGCCATCCAGTGGTGCTCAGCCTCGCTTTTTCTGCAGGGTATGGTCAAGATCAAAGCAAAATGTTCTGAATCTCAGCTTCTGCTTTCACTCCTGTTTGACTAAGGAGATATTTCAGTCTAAAACCTAATCAGTGTGCATATCAATGACCAATGACACTCTTTCCAAAGTGTTCCAGTTCCTTGTGGGAAAAAATGGCCTCTAGAAGCTAACCTTTTTATAAAGCAGAGACCTAATTTTCTGCCCTCTTATTTTCAGCCTGCAGTTCTGGCTCTAATGTACTGATGAACAGGGTCTGTTGTTCTCTGACATTGTTGTGACTTTRGTTAAAGGCTCCTAAGATCTGACTTAAATTGGTTGTGCTCAGTAATAGTCATAAATCCTGCTYTTTTGAAGGGATATTTTGACGTTTTCATGACTCTTTTCCCCGTGAGAATAACATGTGTCTTAAATTTTTGCTCAAGTTTCATTTTCYGGGGAACAGAACAAAATGTTAGGATTCAAAAGTGTTTAAATTTAATGATAGGTATATTATGTTTCAATTCCATTGAAGGCTAATCTTAATCCTTAAAAGGTAGGGAGGGTCAAGATCTTGGGCTCCATTTGTARATATAGGGCTCTGAAGAAATATGCACGAAATTTGTTTCCTCTTCAAGATAGTTGTCAGGGAGATTACATTCAGTCCTACAAACAATTTTGGTTTGGAGGTGACTTTTCCAGATCTAGTCAGAAGTCATGCAGGTGTTAGAATTACATACCRTACTCCTCTGAGGTGACAGAAACTCTCTTTGCTCTAGTCTGATGACAGATTCCGGATTAACTGGTGTCTCGGTCGGATGGCCAGCATCACAGGTAGGAAATGGATTATTTTAGTCRTTCCTTCTCCCCTCCTTCCCCCAGAAATAAGGGGTGTGTAATCATGGACAGCTGTATTTGTCTGAAAAGTGTATCTCAAAAGCTTTCATAAAAGCTGGTGCTGATACCTAGAACTGCTTTGCATGCTTCTTCCACTTCTTTCTCCCACTGCTTTTTAGGAAGTCAGGTTTTATTAAAACTACTGGTGGAATAACTTTTGGCTTTGATGCTATGATAAGAGGCTGGACAGTGAACAGGGACTGACTGAGAAATGAGCTGAGCAGGATATTCGCTGACTCTTGTTCTCCTGGCTGGGATTTTCACTGAACTGTAGGCATTGAGAGCCATTGGGAGCTTTTGGCTGTAGAGGACCTGATCGTAGAACTGTACCAGAAGAAATACCAAAAGGAGCCATCCAAGACCTGGATGTATAGAAAATTGGATGTCTGCCTGTGGGATTTCTCCACTAACACAAGGTATGTTGGTGGTTCTTTGTGTAAATGTGCCTGCTGTCAGATTCTTCTGTGTTTGTRCAGGAAGTGATATTTGCTTGCAGTGTTGCAGGAGCATGTTGGGTGATCATGCAGTTAATTTAGAAATAGACTTCAATGTTTYCTCTGCTACTGTTGTAAGAAAAGAAGCATTATTTTGACCTTAAATTTCAGTAGATTAAAAAAAAWTCTCATACAAATTATTCTTGGACATCTGCTTGGAATATGGATTTTAAGAGCCATTGGGTTTATCGATGTAACTTGGGTCTTTTTATAGTCAGGCAGTTTTCTATTTCCATGAGTATCTTCACATTAGAGGAAAACCTTAAAGGGAATGGAAAAATCTACTTTTAAAACACACATTTGGAGAGAAAAGTGAGGATGTTTATGTTATGAGGAACTGTTTATGCTATGAGGAACTATTTCCCATTAATTGGAAACTTGAAATGGTTCAAATGGTTTAAATTCCATTTGTCTCTTAGGGTTCTCTTTTCTCCCTGCCCCCCAGCTCAGCATGAGGCAGGTTGCCTGATAAGCAGACCTTTAAACTCTGCATAAACTACTTAGAGCAAAGCTATTGACCGCTGTGAAATTTTAAAGGTACTACACAGTAACTGCAACAAAAGGTACCATCTTTAATATTTGTTCCTATTCATCTGACCAGACAACGGCTCTTGTTGATTAACAATGTAGGTGCTTCTGAAATAAGCCTGAACTTCATTTCATGTAGGTGCAAGTGGCATGAGGAGAATGATATAATGTTCTGTGCTCTGGCATCCTGTAAGAAAATTGGGTGAGTTTTGCTAAGGAGTTGTCTCCAGCATGATGACTTCTATTTTGTTATTATTGGAATGTTGAGAAAAGTGTTAATTACATTAGAATTCACTCTTTGGCTTCAGAGGTATTGTCAGTATGCTCCAGGATRTCTCTACTTTGGAAAGTTTTATACTGCCTGACAGATAATGTAGATACATAAGGTTGCATAATCTTTCTGGTGTGGAGAAAGGAAAAGTAAATAATTTGGAAACAAGAAAATGCCATTTATCAATGCCTGATCTCAGCTGACAGCAGTAATAGCACTTAGAGACACAATAATAAATAGTCTTTCATTCAAAAAATTTGTCATGGACTCCTGTGCCCTGAAAAAAAAAGTTGCTTTTCACACTTCCAAATGCGGCATTCAATAATGTGGGGTAATAGTGTGCAGACTGGTAGTCTTGGAAGGATGCAGGGGTGCTGCCATAAAGTCCTCTGGCATCTGCTCTGTGCATCTCGGGCTCTTGGTTGCTGTTGTTTGCCAGTTGAAGAATTTAAAATGCTGTGCTTCCACACATCAGCATTACCTCTTAGTCAAACTTTTATAATTTTCCTTTTTTCTTGGTCAAGTTACTGCATCAGTCAGTCTTTTGCTAGTGTGTATGGAGTCCCACTAACAGCAGCTCACCTCCCTCTCCAAGACTCTTGTTGTGATCAAAGCACAAACACCAGGATTGTGAAGCTGGATGGTGGACGTTTCCAGGTGAGATTCTTTCAACTGACACCCTATTTTAGGCGGGCTGTTTTGTCTTTGGATGCTGTCCTTTGTGACGTATGTTGGGCAGACTGATGAACTTGCAGGGTTTTGACCATAATTCATAGTGGTGGTTAGTGATGTACATTTCATGTTAGCATGCATGTATACCTTATTTTGAATGCTGGGTTTGTTTTTTTTTAATACAGAAAATGAAAGCTGAGAGTTCTGGATGTGGCAAACCTTTTGGTTCTGCAAGACAAGATCAAGAGTTTGTTCCTTCTAATCGTGAGTTGGAAACTTACAYGTTTTTTTGAGGAAAGAGGTCTTTAAACTTAATCCAGTTGTTGCTTTTCAAATTTCTGGGCTTAGATGTTGCCACTAAGTGGTGCATGGTTCTGTGTGAGCTGTGCTTTTTCTTGTGTATGGATTTCTCTGAATTTCTGAAGACACAGGCATGAAGAGCTGCCCTTTTCTTACTGGACAGAATTGTAGGGTCAAAAAAGTCTCTTAAATCTAGTTTTTCTTACAAATATTGTTCTCTGATTTATACCCCCTTTTCTGCTACATAAAAAAGCCATTCTCATATGCCCAGGTGTTTTGAGGCAAGGCCATCTTTAAAATGCTCTCCTTGCTCTTATATCATTGTATGTGAGACTCAGCTGGTCCTTGATGCAAGTGTTCTGTCACAACTCAGTTAAAACACTTCTCGTTTAAAGTCTCTTTGCAGACAGTATTTTTTTGTAGAAGGTCTGTGAGCTCAGTTCATCTGGGCAGTTCATGGCTAGCCTTCAGTGGAGCAGAATCAGGTTTGCAAGATRAATAACTAAGAATTCTGAGTTTGCATCTTGATTCTTGCAAATAGATTAATGCTGAATTAAATTCTGAAACTGTTACTTGGAAATCACGATCTTACTGTCTTGGTGTTTGTAGAGGACACAACCTGCCTGACTTTTGTATTGGAGCAGTTGAATAGGTTCAGCTCCACAGCATATGAGGAGCAATTCCATTAATTTATGCAAGCTTTAAAAGCTGATTTTACTTGCAAACTGTATTTAACTTAATAGGTCATTCTCCACGTGGTGTGAAGACTTCCCCTTGTGGAACAAGTGTTGTACAAGGAAGAGGAGTTACTCGATTGCTGAGAAGTACATCTGATCTATCCAAGTCTTTCAGTAATTGAAAATCTTTTTCACATCCAGGACAGCTGTAAATTCTAATTTTCTTTTGTTCCCTAAAGTAACTAAGTTTCTCCAGACTGCAGTTTTTCATCATCTGTGCAAACCTTGACAGTCCAAGTTTTTGTTAGAATGATTAAACTATTGACTGGATTTAAAGAAGATAAAAATCTTGTTCATTATCTACAGGAAGATTTATTTTGAAGGGACCCGAGAGTCACATCTTTAAAAATGYATGCTATGGTACTTTTGTTTCTTAATGAATGGAGTGCAAATTCAATTGATTAATCAGTATAATTGAATTAGGAGAATTCTTTGGTGACCAMTGTGACTTTAAACAACTTAAACTTTTTGCTTTTTCTTTTTAAAAAACCATCCCTCTCCTACATGTGGTAGATAGMATTTCAGTGTGTAACAATCTTGCTCCAAAAAATGATGTAGGGGAAGAAGTACTGAAGGTGTGAAGGACTGCCCTAGGGGAATYAATGAAAGGTCAATAATCCTGAAGGTTTGCTATAATCTGTTGGCTTTGGCCATGAAGAATTTGTGTGGTCTTTGAAGGCAAAACAGCAGACTTGTTATAAAATGTCTGAAAGAAATASTGTGGCAGATTTATCCATCTGTTAATGTTCTAGAGGCATAGGCTGTATTATATAGATCAGAAACAAGTACAGCATAGATTTTTTTGTTGGTTTTTTTTTTTTTCCTTTTTTCATCAGTTTTCCTTTTAAGAAATGCAGTCCCTCAAACTAAGAGACTGAAGAGAAGTGTAGGTGTTAGGGGGTCAGGGTGTTTTTTTTTGGAAGGAGTATCAAATTCAAACTGATAAATTTCACAAGAGTTTAGTCAGGCTGGGTAGATACTAGTTATAATTATTTGAGGGCACATTAAAAAGTGGGAGATGGAAGTTAGATGTTCCTTTTCATGGAGGTAGTGCTTGAACTAGTCCCTAAAAAGTTGTCTGTCTGAGCCTTGTGCTTAGTCCATGTGTCTCCTTAGCTAGTGCTTCTCCGAAAGAAGAGCCTATTTTGTTGTTTCTAGGTTTTGTACCAGCAGATGTCCAGTTTTGAAATACTATTTCCATAGCAACTATGGAAAGATGGAAATGTGTGAAGATTTCATTCCTTGTAGGTTCTGAAACTCGAGATGGTTCATTCCCTTGAATAAGGAAAAAACCCAACAAAACAAATGCAAGCAAAATCCAGAATGCAGCCATAATAGAGTGTTTATTTGTGCATATAGAAAAGGCCATTGCTGGTTTAGTTGGAAACGTATTAGCATTGCTGTAAGGCCAGTTGAGCCCTTTCTTCCAATATTTTAGGATCACTGAAGCATTTTTATTCGTACCTGTTCACCTGTATCACTGAATTGTGTCAATTGATTCTGTATTTCCTTCCTTTGGGGCTGTGGTTCTACCTGCTAATTTTCACTGAATAAGGGACAATAAAGCTCTAAGGCTTCAATTTTCCAGTGAAGCACCTGGGAATGCTGTAACAAGACTGACAGTGTCTATCAAGTAATGCTAAAGGTTTTTCTGCATTTGTATAGAGTTGTTCAAGTTCTTTAACTCCAGCCATTGCTGCATTGACATTTCAAAACATACAGAACTGTTGTCTTTGAATTTTTGGAGTTCAGTGTTGCAATAAAAGTTTGTTTCAGTTATTGCATAGGAGAAAATTCATTAAAATTATTATAAAATACTCCGTGTTAAGTACACAAACCTAAAAACATTTGTTACCAAGCTTAATGTATTACATGCCAAGGCTGAGATAAAGAATCTAAGCAGAAGTRGGGAAATAGCATTAGGATTCCATGGCATATCTTCTCACCTGTAAATCAAAATGGCACATAAGCTGTAGAAGATCTAATTATTTGCTATAGGCAGTGAGTGGACTGTTAGGTAGGGCAGTAACTGTCTTAGTATAATAACCAACAACTCTTAGTGGGTCTTTTTGGTGGTGAAAATCATAAGATGTCTGTGATTACAGTGAGTGCACTAACTTCATGTAGTCCATTTCAGACTGTTATTCTGCATTTATAGAGGGGGAACCCTAATAGCTGTTGAAGAATGATAGAAAACTCTTTCATTTTGGAGCTCTGCTTCTCTTAGCTGTTTTGTAATTTACAACTCTGATTTCTCACAAAGTAAATTCTGAAAAACAAGTACAATAAAGTAATGCTTGTCTCCATTACTTAGAGGAAAGTGAAGATGAGGGATTACAACATTAGCCCACTGTCTTGGTTTGAAAGATAGGTGTCTGCYAAGGAAGGTGGGGATCTCCCTTGGAGTGKAGAATATGATCCCCCTTCTTTCCGAATTATTGTAACTTTGAAATCACGGGGTTTTCAGACAAAAATATGGGAAAACAKATACCAGTAAAGAACTGTTATGTATGACAAAGCAAACAAACAACATAAACGGCAGCAACAACAAACAAAACCAGAATCCAGTACCAGGCTCCGCTGGGCTGTCCCACGCCCTCCCTGTGGTGCAGGCAGCCRGCAGGGGGCGCTGAGGGCTCCGGGCAGGGTGGGTGCAGTGATTCCCCCACGCCAGCAGGGGCGCTGTGGTCCAGGCTCAGCCACCTCTTTCCCTCACGTGGTGATGGCRGCCAGGCTGGATGGCGGACCAAAATGCAGAACCTCGGACCCGTGGCTGCAGCTGGCTGGCCCAGGGTAACGAGCAAGAGGTGGCAGAAACTGCAGCTGTGGCAGGAGCTGTGGCGTGTCCTGACAGATGACGGTGTGGGGTTAGAGTGCAGCAGAAACCCTGAGCAGYGGCAGAGGAAAACCGGCGGGGCTGAGCAGTGGCAGCTGCGTTTCTGAACAGCGAAAGGCTCCCACAGAGGGGGAGGGGTTCGGGGTCCCGGGTTTTCCCTCGCGGCACCTGAGCAGACGGTGAGAGTCCTTTCCAGTGAGATAGGGTGTTAATAATATAGTTCAGTGGCTTCTCTTCCGAACAGATCCTCACGGTAGGAGAGAAGTGAGAGACGAACTCTGCAATGGCGCTGGCTTCTTCCTGCAGCGACTGGAGACCATCTCCCCTCCAAATGCCCAGAGAGCTAGGAGCTGCRCCCAGCCCYTTTTTCTCCAGCCCAAAATCTTGTGGGATTTTAGTCCCTCCAAGAGACCATTGCCCTTTCCCCCCCCCCAATAAGGCAGTGGCCAGCTGCCCCCTTCCTGCAGAGCTGGGCTAGTTCTTTTGTCTTTTCTTACATACTGGTCGTTATTGTTTCTTAGCAACAGATGGGACTAAATTCCCTAACAGRAATCAAAAGGAAAAATCCTAACTTCCACTTCCTAAGTGCAAGGAGTAGTACTGATAAAGCATAAACTGTGTCAAAATCAGGACAAAACTCTCCCCARTTGCATGGCAAAATTCTCAAAGGGAAATAAGACCAAGTTAAGACAGAATGGCTCTTGAGCAGACTTTGGTGCAGCCTGGAAGCTTTAAACATGTACTTTCCAAGAGGTAAAAAGTAATGGTGATAGTACTCTGCATGTAGGTGTTTGGTACCASGTGTTGAACTGGCTCAAGAGTTGTTTAGTAAACATCTGAGAGATTTTATCAAACCTGACTTTCTGCTCTCCTGTTAGTGCAGTTTACTCATTCCCCTGACAAGAATGGGTAAAAGTCATCCTGGTTTAACATATTGTAAAGTTACTAGGTATTTTTGCTCTTGTAGTAATGCTAGATGAATGGTTGAATTGTGCATTGCCACTAAAAGTTTTGACCAGAGCAGTTGTCTGAGGGTCATGAAAACAATGACTRTAGTGACACCTTTGCTGATCTAGTCTACATCAGTATATTGATGTGTAATATTCTTTTACGTTCTATTTGGAGTAACTGATATTGAAAAATAAAATGTGTTAATATAGAGTAAACAGCAGTTGGTGCTGTTTTAATTTAACTGTTACTTAYACTTTGCTGGCTTGTCCACCTTCTTTCAGTAAACTGCAGAAACCAGGTATGTGACAGAAGATCCTGCTGGCCCCTGTCTCTGCTCCAGCATTCTCATATACATGCATGAATACTATAGATAAAGCAATACCTGGTTTTGACATCTTTAATTTGAATTTTGTTTTGGAAGGCTGATCTTAAGGCTCAAGGTGAAGGTGGCCTTAGTTTGTCCTTCATGACCACTGCCCATTCCCACTCAGCTGCAGCTGCAGACATTCTTCTTGCCCTTTGTGTGCTTCACCAGATGGGGCTTTGGGTGGGCTTTGGCTTTCCTAGCCCCATACCTGCGCACCCACACAATACTGCTCTATTTCTCCCCTGTCACTTGTCCCTGCTGTTGTCTCCTGTGTGTTTCTTTTTCACGGGTGAGTTTTGTCAGGAGCTCTTTGACTTGTTTTGCTGTTTTGSAAGAGGTGATACTTGAAAAATCAGCAGGCTCGCCTGGATCTCATTCCAGCATTTTGTGCTACAGGAGTCTTCCAGGCAGTTCTGTGAACAAGACCAAAGACTGCTCTCCTGAGGTCCAGGGCTGTGATGTTGCTTTTTGCTGTTTTCTCCCTTCTCTGGGTCCCAGACTTCACTATCTCATGGTTACTGAAGTGAAATTTGCCCCTCTGGCCTTCACATCCCTGATCATTCTTACCCATAAGGATGAAATCCAGCGGGGAGCACCTCTGCTCTTTGGCTCCTTGGTCACCTCTGTCGGGAGTATCAGGCTTCTTGCAAGTGTCTGAAGAAAGCCTTGAGAGCTTCCAGGTGGAGCTCTGCATGCCAGCTGCTCCCTCACATAGAGAGCAGCTCTCCTCCTCACCTCCCACGTGTGATGTGTGGGAAGGGAAGCCGTGTCCTGAAGCCTGTGCCACCTTTGGGATCTGCATTATGTTAACAGAAATTGTTTGCTGGGTTTAAGGTAAGATAAATCTTTGTTGTATCCTTAGCAATGTGTCAGTCTGTAAACCTTTAGAAGACAGAAACRAGGCAGTAATTTGGTGGGAAATTTCTGTGTGGAGGGTCTGTCAAGTGTCAGGCATTGGACTGTGCTGTTGGGGAACATGTCAGGCTGGAGGAAGCAATGCTGTGATCTTGGATCAAACAGCAGCAGCTGATACTCTTTCCAGGGGGTGTGTCCTGTGCCAGCTGCCTAGAGTGAGGTCCATGCTGAATCATTCCCAACTAGGAAACTTGCTGCCATTTCAGGGATTCTGGGTCTTGAGCAGCCACAGTCAAGTGCTGTTGTGCTGAAGGTCAGATTTCTAATAAGAATTTGGTTTGGGTGAATGAAAACCCCTATTCCAGGAAACCCTGTTTCCATTTTCTGGTAAAATAGTTGTATTTTTCTGTTCCTGAGGGATGGTGCTTTTGGACCTGCTAGTTGAATTAAAAAGTGCTAACCCTTTCTGCTGGCAAGGATTTCAAACTTTGCTTGAAAGTGAAGTGATTCAAGTATATGTGTGAAATTTGGTTTGTTTTCTGGTTGATAGATAGAAGTAGCTGCAGCTGGCTGCAAGGTCTTTAACAACATCATTCCATTTGGCAGAGTAAATGTACTGTAGTGGAGCAGGAGAAAAACAAGTTTGTTATCTAGTTTCTGCCCTCTTGATGACTTCTGCAGGATTATCATTCCTCACTGTCACCCTAGAATGGCCAGCCAATAAATTTTATTGCAATGATTTAGTAAAATGAAGAAATTGGCAAACACTTCTATTAATCTAACCCTGTATTATCTCTGCTCTCTCACTTTTCCATGGTTCTCTCTTAGAGGCTCCTATAAACTTCTCTAACTGCCATTTTCAAATTCCCTTCAATCCCTAGTGAACAGGTGAAGTGCAGCAGAAGTTACAAATTCCCTTATGGTGGGCTGTAATAAATTTAGTAGTAGCTCCAACACATCCAGAATTAATCTTGGCAGTTTGATCATTGTGCTGTGAGCTTCATCAGCCAGAACACTGCCTCGGTGTCTTTCCTGGAACAGATGATACAAATAAACAGAAAAGGAGTGCAGTTGCTCTAGCAACAAGAATGGTGAGATAATTAACTCTTGTATTTCTGACAAGTTATGAATTGTGCTCTGTACTGAATCTTAAGATGGGCTGTGGGAGCACCAGCTCTTTTGTGTCTATAATATTAGAAATACTTGCCAAGATCCTGAGAAGAGTGAGGAAGGCAGTGAGAGAAGATCTTGGTGGTTGTATGGGGAGGGGTGGAATCCCTGGGGGCAGCTCTGTAGAGTAAACGAGTTCATTAAGGTTGGCAGTTCATTAAGGACAGTGTCTTCCAAACACAAGAGCAGTCCAGGAATGTAGTGAGATTGATTGGGAAGACTCTTGTCTTCATAGGGGTCTTGGGGCTGCTTCCTAGTCCTAGTGCAGTGTAAGGGAGGTAGAAGCAGGTGTGGGCTACAAAGGACGAATCCATAAAAACTGGCCAGACCTGTAGGAATGTTATTTGGAAAGCTAAAGCTCATCTGGAGTTGATGCTTGCAACGGATCAGGGTCAACAAGAAGAGCTTTTATGACTTTCTTAGCAGTAAAAGGGTGAACAAGGTAACAGTGGTCCTGGTGCTGAGGGGGGTGAGTGGCTTTGTAACACATCTGGAGTAGTACAGAGTAGGCTGAAGTGCTCAGTACCTTCTCTGTTTCAGCCTTTTCTAATAAGGTCTCTTAAATCTGTATTCAGGAAGGGTTCAGGGAGGAGAACAGCAACAGTGGGGGATCAGTTGGGAGTTCTAGACCCATGCAAATCCCTAGAGCCAGATGAGCTGCATCTGAGGATGCTGAGAAAGCTGACTGACACCTTTCCAAAGCTGCTGTCTTGCTTTTGGAAGGTCACAGAGAACACAGGATGTGCTTGGAGTAAGGTAGGAGTTTGACTGTGTATATTCGTGTATTTCTGGCTGACAGAGTTGAACAAAGTGGTTGAGGAAAAACACATAAAACATTCTGATAAATGCACTATTTCCAAAGCATTGTTTAAAAGGGGAAAAAATTATAAGCAGCACTGAATTATCTCAGTTATATCTCCATGTACTCTCACTTAGTTTGTTTTTCAGTGTAGAACTGAGCATTGCAGAATTTCAAATAGTTTTGTTTTAAAGGYTCCAAGTTGAAATCTCTTGCTTCTCCTCTGCTTGTTCTTAAGGAATCTGCTTACAGAGAATTGAAATGATGAGTTYGGGGATCTTTATAAAAGCTGCTCTGTATTTTGTGGCTGGTTTCTTCAGATAATTTAGTGCAGGTCTGTTAATCTGCATTTTCCTTCATGCTTAAGGTGACCAGTGTGCAAGTGTTACTGCAGCTGACAAACAGCAATTAAGCCTCCCGTGTCCTAAAAAGGAAGAGTGTGGAACAGGTAGCACAGTGTTACAATGGTTTAATGGCTGGAGTTTCTGGCTATGTTCTAGCTTTATTCTGCTCATAGTTTTCAAGTTCTTTTTCTGGACTTGCAGGTTAAGATCTTTGAGAATCCTCACTGTTAACCCTCAGCAGAAGCTCTCTTCAACCAGTGGAAGAGGAACAAAACAGGTTTTGTTAACTAATGTCTGTAACATTTATAAAAGAAATAGCTTTTGTTTCACTGTAGAAACGTGTTACAATGCTAATTAGAAAATTCACACTATACTTGCTTCTTACAGTGAGAATAGAATGCATACCAGCTCTGCTTCTGAACTATGCACATTTTTTATCTGCTTTCAGCTTCTCTGTGCAACATTCTTTTTTAGCCATCCACTTCGGCAATGTTTTGTCATGCATCATGAGAAAAAGTCCTCAGAATATGTCTTGCATTTCAGGTTGTCCATTGCTAGAGAGATTTGGATTTGTGTGTTTTTTGTTAAGAGCTCCTGTTGTTGGTCTTGGCAGTTATTATTACTACAAATGAGTAATTGTATTTTAACTATTATGTAAAACAAAGGCAGCCAGAAAGCAAGCCAGAATTACAGTTCTGGTAGGGTGATTTTCATAGTTGGACATCTAGAAAATGCTGGTCATGTGTAGGAGGATTGCTGATTCTTCTTTGAAGTTAAATTTTAGATTTTTATTACAGTAACTATTTGTGGGTTAAAAGGGTACGTGGGAAGCATTGCTGTAAGTTTCTGAAACTCCCAAAGTTGAAGATACAATRTGGAGTTTTGAAAGGATAAATATTTTACTGCAACATGTCTTAAAAAAAAAGGGCAACCAAACCAGATCAGCTGTTAATTTGCTAATTCGCTTTAATACCCTGTTGTTAATACCCTGTTGGCAGTCTTTGGGGACAGACAGTCCATTCTCTTCCAAAGATACCAGTGGTAGGAGTTCTCTCCACATTTGCACACAGCGCACATCTTGCACATACAGTGCTTCTGATTAAATTGCTACAGTTTTGAATAAAAAGATACTTTTCCCTCTTCCTTCCCCTTCCCCCTGCCTTTTTTTTAAATTATAGAGGTACTTGCCATGTACATTCTCTCACACTGTCATCTTTGCAGAAGCAGCAGCAGGAGCAGTGGACTATTTCTGACATGCCCGTGCAACAATCAGGAGGAAAGAATAATGTAATATAAATTAGGAACTCTGTGACCAAGAGCTCAAAAATTCAGGAGTCCGACGGTAAATAGGCTGCTASAGTGTTTTTAGTCCTTATCAGCTGCCCAGCTAAGTTTTTACCTTACCTGTCACATCAGTRTGCACTGTTGTCCCAAACTGGAGGCTCATTGGTCATCTATGATTTTTTTTCCATATCTTTATTTATATGTGCATATATAATATATACAAAGAACACATTTAATAAAATGTCTTTAAAAATCACCTTGCTTCAACCTCCATAAAAAAGTTTCTTTGTTGGACAATGCTGAAACCTGTGACATTTGCATGACACAGTAAACAAGACCACCCTTCCTTGATGAACTGCAGTTAGTGATCTTGAAACCTTCTGTGGTTTTGGGGATACATCAACAGCTCTGCTCTGTTCTCCAAATAGACCTGACTGGTTTCTTTTTTCAGAAAGTGAGAAGTCTGGAAGACTGGTTATTTTTGGATGACTGGGTTCAGCRGTGCTCCACGTGCATTTTTCTGCTATGAGATTGTGTATTAGTGCTCATTGTACATAAAGCACTTCTTTCCAGGGGAGTAAGAACCTTCTTTCCCAGAATTTAAAGGCAGAGCCTTTAGCTTTCATTTAATAATTCAACTTCTTGCAATAAGAAAGAGGGATTGATTTCTTTTCTACAGTGATATTTGTTCCTCAGCAGATCCCAGAGATGGTGGTGACTTCTTCCTTCATGCATTCTCCACATTCTCCTCTATGCTCTCATCCCTTGTTGGCATCTGCCTGGAGSGTTCATGTCTGTCTTCTTGCACCCTAAAACATTGTTCAGGAGTRGAGATGTTAATCAAAACCAGCCAGAAACCTTCCTGAAGAGATTTTGTGTTAGGATAGTTGTACACTGCTCTAAGCTCATCTGGAACRGTACCAAACTGAAGTCCATAAATCCAGTTTTGGTGAATGCAAGGTGATGCAAGAGATGTGTGAACTACTTTTTTTTTTATTATTATTATTTCATAGTGTGTGTGCTAATGCAGATCCAAAGTTTGAATATTTTGGTTCTACCCCAGAGACACAAAGCTGTCTGGGACTACTGGGCATGTTCCATGAAAGGAGATGGGAGCTAGTGGGGTAGATGCTGAAAGGAGAAGGCAGTGTATCCTTTCCCATATTTCTGTTTTCTCCTGTGCTTTTCACTCCATCTGTTGATGCTGGAGGGAAAAGGAAAAYCCTCATCTGTTCCATTCACTCTTGTAGGGAGAGGTACTCACGTCATCTCATAGTCAGTGTCCTTGCCTGTCCGGCAGCAGCAGCAATAGGCCACGATCCCAATCACCACAATTGCAGCAACAACTCCCCCAATGATGCCAGCATACAGAGCTATGTTCATGGATGCTGTGTGGGAAGGGAGGAATTAGCAGGGAGAAGGATGTCAAATGGGATTAGCACAATCACAGGACTTCAAACCCCATCACCAGATCTCGCTACCAGATCCAGACTGAATGAAAGCTTCATTTATTAGACTACAACAACTGGAAATAATTSTGTACTGGGTAGTCAATCAGTCTGCGGGAGCAATTAGTTAGCTAGTGCCAGGGAGGAGCCCCTGGATCTGTACAACTGCTTTTCTTTTTCAGTAAGTTAGCTTWGTTTCAGGCATTGCAACTCAGTCCTGTCTGACTCTACACATYGTTTTGGTCATTTTTGAACTAACCCTCTGAGTTGGTGAGCTCCCTACCAGCATGTAAACCAGTGGAGTGGGTCTCCCTTAAAGATGTGCAGAAAGCAGATACCAATATTCCCCTCCATTAATGCTTTGACTCTGAGCTGGRATACTCTCTCTGGTACTTCTCTTCCCCAGCAGCCCCATCTCTTACGTGGCATAACGCTGAGTGTCATGTTGCAAAATTCTGTTCCCACAACGTTTTTTGAAGTGCAGATGTAAAAGCCAGAGGTGTCCGCTGAGATGTTCTTCAGAGTTATTTGTTGCCCTTTTATGAAACACAAATCAGGCCAAAAAAGAAAACAATTAAAGCAGGGAAGCAAGTGGCGACAGCAGCCGTTCACTTCCAGCCCAGGGTGGTTGGAGTGATGAGAGGTTATTACAGCTGATGGTTGCTCTATCTTGCACAGGAGCTGCCATGCTCATCCTTAGGTTTTAGTGTGATTTGTGGGAGGATAAACAGAAATGTGCTGTTTTGATTACAGGGAACATGGTATTTGAACATTCCTTTTAGAAAGAAAGTTGTAGGTGGAGGGTAGAGAAGTGTCTGTGCTTTCAGAAAGCTTTTTTTTTTTTTTGCACTGTTTTTTGAGAAATGTAAGATGCCCAAAGCAGCACCTGGCTTTGAGAGCTGGCCATCTTGATGGCCTTGTTAACTTGATTAACAAGTTAAGATGTTAACAAGATGTCTTGATTAACTTGTTAAACAAGGGAAAGCTCTTCAATCCTTCTGCTATTAGGATTTCAGATACTATAATACTAATTGTTTAGCGGAATGGGGAAAAGTCTTCTACTTTGGGAGAGGTCACACTGGCTGTGTAAATAAATGAAGGCAAAGAACTGCAGTGATTGCATGATTGTGTGGATACTGATGTTTTCAGCCTCACACAGCTCAGAACCACAGGCTGAAGCGTAGCTCTGTCTGCTCAGACAGTCAGTTTTTGTTTGTTACATCTTCAGCTGATATTGATACGTGTAGTCCATGCTTTTTGCTTGTGAGAAAAGTCCAGATCCCTGCTCTGAAAGCAAAAGGCTGAGTACTTTTAAATTACTTTCCTGTTTTACCTAAGAGCTCATTTTTTTTTTCTGTTTAGTCTCTGCTGGCACCTAGTGCCAGACAGTAGAAGAGCATRCAAACTGAGAAATGACCGACTGCATGCTTGATTTTGTATTGTTATTTTCTTTTAGTGTCTACATACTCCTGT